CTACGACCTTTGGAATACTAGCCCAATGCTCTTCCAACTGAGCTACGCGGTCAGGACGGTTCGAGTAAGCGATATTTCGGAACTGAGTCTAGTTCCTTCGATATCAGTGTAATCTAATTTTTATGAAATCTCAGATTTCATAAATATTAGATTACACTGATATCGAAGGAACTAGACTCAGTTCCGAAATATCGCTTACTCGAACCGTCCTGACCGCGTAGCTCAGTTGGAAGAGCATTGGGCTAGTATTCCAAAGGTCGTAGGTCCGAATCCCGCCGTGGCCAGGCATATTTTTCAAGCCTGCCCGGTGTGGATATACACTCAGAGTAACATCACACAAACATATTATAAACTGGCCGTTGAGAAAGATCGTAACTCTATCTTTACGACCATCACGACCATATGGAAATCAGGCTTAACAATAATTACTAATTTGAATCAAACCTAGCAATAACTATTTTTCTCGTTATTTTCTGCAGGAAGCGGATGAGGAAATGGAGGATCTATCAAACTTATCGTTTGCTCTGAGACATTTGAAATGCGAAGAGAATGAACGGAAGAGGTTTACTGGTTTGGCAATCAAAAAGAAGAAACGACCAACTCGACAGAATAGTGAGGCCACAACCCCAGAACCAGTTTCTCCTGGATCTCTTCTTTTCGACGGTCATTTAACTGCTAGTCACAATTCGTCCGGTGTTCCTTCGCCAACATCCACTAACCCGTCTCTAAATTCATCTTTGAATGTAACTTCGCCAACAGGTCTTTCTGGCGCTGTAGTTAATATGTTACCGTCCGACTCCATGCTTAGCAAACTTGAACGCTCAGGGAAAAGCTCGCGTCATCACAGTAGGAGGAATTCGTCTATGGATCATAACGAGGACAGCAATGAACCATGGCCAGTTGTAGCACCGTGGACATTAAGAAACTTTCCACTTTCAGATATGGACGTTGATCATATAAACAACCCACCTCCCACCCCACGGGTATTGTCTGTGCCCCCCTCTCCGTCGTCTTCGCGAACTGCTAGTCCAGTTCTCTCCCCAGTCGACAGTCCTGATAGCACGGCGAACTCAAATTGGACAGTTAAATTACTCTCGCCTGAAACGCCAAATAATACAGAATCGGACTCTAAACCACCAAGAAAAGGGATTGTGCTAAAGCTGGCAAAAAGATAAGGATCGTTTGTCGCAGCTTCGCCGCCCATCGTCGTCCAGTCAGGGGTTCTGTAAGTCCACAACTGATCGAACCAAATTAGCATTGCTATCAATGTTTAGATTCCGACAACAATGCTAAAACATACGTAGTTTATGACAATATGTAGAACAACTAAAGAAAATAATTGCAAAACCGTGAAGTTCCTTGAATGAAAGCTTGCATGGATTAAATGCATCGTTCGCCCTTCCCTTTTCACAAGTACTGTAAATCAAATGTCTTTTCTCTTGTATATACGCCCGATAAATTCGATACTGGAACCTTTATGTATAAGAAATGGAAAGAAAATGTCAAGTATATTATAAATAAATATATTACCATTTGAAAGGTTTTAAGTGAAGTTTTTCAGAACAGTTTTACCACGATATTTTAGAAGGGAATTTTTGGTGGGCATGTATTCAATCCATAGCCTGTAAAATTAAGCCTCCTTTCCACTCATTGCAAAAACAAGTTCGCTAGTACTTTCATCCAATCACCATGCTCGACAGTGCGTTTTAATTAGATACAAGTACTCGCAACGAGCTTGGTTTTTGCGATGAGTGGAAAACGCGTCCAAAATGCAACATTTTCTTTCCATTTCTGGAGAGTTGACATGCAATTAACCTTTCTCAAGAACGCCAAAATCCGTCATTTTTGAGGTACTGTCTGCCCTCGTGAAAGATTCTAGACAATTCAAACAACGTGAGAAGCGACTTTTGAAAATTTTAACTGTAAATTTACCATTATACAAACAACTATAACACTGAAAAGTCGCATTTCGTAGTGCGGAGACTCTCAAACGTGGGAGAGGCATTACCCCAAAAATTGTCTGGAAAATCGGCCGTGATTCTTGCCGTTGTCCTCAAGTATCCAACGTTAATGTCGTCGTTGCTACGTATGTTTTAGCAAATTCTTGTAAGGAAAGCATAGAAACTAAATTGATTGTATTAAACCATGGATTATTAATAGATTTCTTTTAACTATCCATGATTAAACCTACGTTGGTTGGACGTTGAATATCTTTCGCTCATGACCGACATAAAAGGTAAAGAACCAAAACTGTTGATCCGTTTTCACGTTTGTTGGTGATTCAATCGTAACGTTGTTTAGTCTTCCATGTAAAGTTTTCATAACACATGTAAATAGCATGAGTTCTGGTTCATACGGAGTTCATTTTAACGTAAAATGTGTATCTCGCCTATCAAGATGAATACATATTTTATTTTCTACACTCGTGTGATTCTTTACTTCTTTATTATTTAACAATTTTTCCCCGAAGGCGAGGTGATTATCGGGGAATTTTTACACAAGCTTTTGTGTTATTTGGTACTGAATTTATTTTAATTTTGCTTATTTCTTTATCAGTATAAACTTCCACAAAACGGCTAGCCGCCATTTTGAAAATTTCAGTTTTGTTATATTCACCTGTAGGTGAATATAACAGTTTAATACGTCAAATTTGACCAATCAGGTTGTAGGATTTATTATGTTCACTTGTGCAAAAATACTAAAAGGGCATTTTACAATGATCAGTGTTACCATGGATAAAATACATGGATAGGGAACTAGCTGACGTGACCTAATGTTTTCAATGGGATGATGGCGTTGAATCCTAGTTGCAAACCAAATTCTCAAAAATGGCATGTTTAGCAATAATACAGCTAAACATTTTAGTCAAAGAGCAAATAAATATAACTAGGCCATTCTACGATGAAATCTCTAAGTATTCCCAGTCAATTTTAGCAAATATTTCAACCACTAAACAGTGAAAAATGCATCGCAAATTTCGTTAAAATTGGCGACGCCAATTTCGTAGCTACAAATGTAAAAAAAAAAAAAAAAAAACAGACGAAAAACATTTACCTTGAATACTTTGTCCGTGGCTTAGGCATGTTTTTAAAACAACAAGACGCTCTATGGAGCGTTAACTCGCTGGGGCTATACAACTGACGCACATTACTGTTAAGATCTAAAGGCTGATTACCACTGTTGCGTTTTTCGTACGCACGTAAAACTTTGAATCCTTCTATTTTTAAATATTTTACAAATAAGTTAAGCCTGGTTCACATATATGCCGGCGACGTACCGGCGACGATACAGGTGCTAGCTTTAAAAAGTAAATTATGTGAACATTTGTTCGCCGATTGCCGCCAGTGCCTCAGTTGCATCGGCGGTAGGCCGGGAAAGTTGACTTGAGTTCAACTTTGCCGGTATTTCGGCGGCAAGTAGAGGCATAATGATACAGTCGCAGGCATATGTGAACCAGGCTTTAACAAATTCATACTAAAACTTGCGGAGCAGTAAATTCTGTTGCTTTATTTATTTGGTTATTTTATAAGTAACATTTAAACAGATTTAAAGTTTTACGTGCGTATATTAAAGTGGAAGTCAAGTCCGTAATGTAAACAAACGGTTTGTTTACATTTTGAACTGCTGTATTTTTTAAAATATGATGACTGTCTGAATATCTAACAATACAATTTCGCTTGATTTTCAAAGGACAAGTTCTTACGCTGAATCGAACGGTGGTATTTTTATCCTTATTGCGCCATTAATAGGCATTACAAATACAATATCATATTTCGCACTGAGTACACTACAGTTTTCACGGACTGTTGTTCGATAAATTTTCTATTGATCTGACACCAATATGCTTCTCATAAAGTCGTTATTTATTAAAACTACGTTGTGCAGTTTACGTTATAATCTTTTACCTTGAAATTGTCTTTGGCTCGTTTATATTCAGGTTCAGTATATTATGATCGTGCACGGGAATTCAACGATCCAAATTTCGGATTTTCAGAGTCGTGCACCAAGAAAAACGCATTAAATAAACTAGCAAGAATGTCCAGAGTTAGACACAATGCAAAATCCATAGAAAACAGGTACAATTTGTTCAAAATTTTCACGAAATGGGGCCCGAAATTGTTTGAAACATTTTGCCCACTCCACGAATGGCCCCGCCATTTTGAAAAGGATCAAGCAGCATTAATATTCTATTTTGTGGCTATCGACGATTGGAGATCCACTATCCGTGATCCGTGACAAATGCATGCCGAAACCTATACTCGTCTGGGGCACAGTGCCCCAGCGAGTAATTAGACCAGTTTATGCTTCAATATTACTCTATTAAAGCAGAAAATATAGCGAAACAACAAAAATGCTGAGAACTTTAGCAATACGCGTGACATCACAGGTTGCAACTAGGTTTAGACTGTGACGTCAGGAAGTTTCCTATCCAGTTATTTTACAATCCATGGTGTTACGATGGGCAACTTTCCCTGGAACTTGCAACGCAACCACGGTACATTGTAAGTTGAAAGAGAGGTATTGCCTCTGTAACCGGCTTATAACACCCCTCAGTTTTGGAGCTGGCATTATAATGGAAAATATATAGAGAATATTACTCTCGACTACATTTTCGGAAAGCATTTTTTCGAAACAGACCAGCCTGCTATAGGCAAGTTCCGTAATTCAGTGCGAAAAGATATGGGTAAATATCAGGATTTCTGCCCGAGGGAAATTGTTTTGTTTTCCCGAGAGTCTCAATGTTTCCCGAGACGAAGTCGAGGGAAACATTGAGATTCGAGCTCGAGGAAAACAAAACTATTTCCCGAGGGAACAGATATTAAACGTTTTTGAATCTTCGAAGTAGATTATATGCTATCGACGTGTTAGCTGTTTACTGTTAACTTAGCCAATCAGCGACTAGTATTACCAAAAATTACGTAATTACAAATCACAGCTTGGCGGTGAAGAGGGGTTAAAATTTATGATTTATATTTATTCACGCATTGAAATATGCAGCTGATGACTTGCGGATGAAAATGGAGCGAATCAAGGTAAATTAATCTTGGAACTACGTGTCTGTTTTTGATGGTACGTATTGGTTTTCGAAGCGTCTAACCATGTTTCCTATTTGGAGTCATCTGGACACGTAACAGGCATTTGTCAGCGCTCATGTCGAATACTATTTCACTCAATGTAGACACAATAAAGTG